CCCCAAAACCCCAAAACCCCAAAACCCCAAAAATACTCTAATTAGGTATGTATCCATTTTAATTTAACAAATTCTATCAAATTATTTCTCAGAACAATGATAATTTTAATTGGGTGAATTTCCTGTTCAATAGCCAAGTGCAAAGATGCTCAATCATGGGAATGGCAAGTCTTTTTTCAAATGAGTTGCATTTTTTGGGTAAATAGCTGACTAAGAATTCATTGCTTATTTATGGAATATAATCAGCTTCTTTGACAGTTGTGAATTACTGAAGATTTTTCGATACTTCTATTGGGTTATCAATAATCTTAAAATTAGCGATAAAGTCCCAACCTATCTCATTCATACAGTTTCTGTAAAGTTAAACAAACACTGAAAGGGCTTTGTAGAAGTTAACTATCACATATTCAGATATATCAATCAGGTATATTGCTAGAATTTAATCAAGATTTAGTAAAAGTCTTTCCTCATCCGTTAAATTCGCCAAATAAAGAGTTCCTTTGTGAATATTACTTTTTATGGCTTCAATATTCATCTATCTTAATGCTTGTTAGATGATGTTTTGTTACTATTGAACTAACATATAAAGTTCATCTTCATCATCCTCAAATTTTTCATAGTACCATTCTAAGGGGTTGGTTGGTCCACCTACCGCATTAAGCTTTTATATCAAGTCTCTTTCCTTTTAAAGTTTTTCCTCAGTCAAATGAGATTCTAAGTAGGAGAGTTGGCCCATTTGCTGCTTCATTTGTTGCAATAAACCAGCTTCTGACTAAAATTTCATCTACTCTTCCTTATCTTGAACAAGAGTTTGAATCTTTCTTGGTCTTCCTCTACCCCTTCCTGTTTGAAATTAAGATGTATTAGTCCCAGTAGGTGTCTAACCGTTATGCTTGGTTTTAATATGAGTATACAAAGCTGGATAAGATAGATACTTCTTTCCACAACCACATTTAAAGTTTCTGCCCTGATTATCATTCTTTGACCTTCTTTTATGCTTTGATTTTTAGCCACTCTATGTTATTGATCCGTCACCATCTTGTGAATCTGACATTTCCTCTCCATCATCTTCTGAGCCCTCGATAATTTCGCCATCATCTGCATAGTTTTCCCTAAAAGCTTATTATGTATTAAGACTTTTACTCATATTCTTGTTTTTGCATTTTCTTTTATGCTTATTTATTAAACAATTATTAATTTAATCATTTTATAGATTCAGCCTCTAGGGGTTTTGGGGTTTTGGGGTTTTGGGG